TCCTTATCTTTAAAATGGAGTGAAAGCACACAGCAAGAGTTACTTTGCTTCTTCTGCCTTCCCACCTGCCTCAGACTCTCTATCTTGTTAGTTACTTGAGCTTAGAACCTCTTCGATTTGAACATTCCTCTCAAACCCTCCCATCTAGTTAACTAGATCTTTCTATTCGTGTTTTTATTTTTATTAAACTTGTGGTTTTGATGAGTTTCATTAACTCCTCAGGAGGCCTGGTTCCTGTGCTCTCCCACAGCACTTAAATATGGAAACCACACAGAAAACTTAGTCCCACACAGCGCCCTGGGAAGGCGAGTGGATGTGTTTGTTGGAAGGTGGCTGGGGCTTGCTCAGACCTCGCAGCTTTTTAGGTGCAGGCCCTCCTGACAACCCAGTGTTAGTAATGCATAAGAACAAAAAGAATGCTTATTACAAGAGAAAGGAACAAAGGAGAGAGAGAGAGAGAGAGAGGCGACAGTAAACCAAAGCCTCTCCTGCTGCACTTGGACAGGCATGGAGAGCTGTCCCCATGCTGGCGTTGGTGCCATTGGGAAACCTGTGGCTGATTCTCTGGCTCTCCCTGGCACGGGACCTGTTTCCCGTTAGGCCATGTTGCTCTCTGGTTCAACTACAGATACAGGTCTGCACCAAGGGCCTCCTGGGCTGCCCCTCAGGAAGAAGGTTTGATGGCACCCTGGGCTTGTGGTTGACGCACCAGGAAGGTGGACAGAAGTCTTTGGTGTTGACCACTTATTTACTTGATGTTGTGGCTAATTCTGTGGGCCCAGTGAGCTCACGTCTCCTCCTCATGATCTTTTGTTATATTTGGCCAGACACATAACCCACAGCTTCCTCATAACCCACAGCTTCCTCTGTACTTCAGCTAACTAGAAGTAGTGTTCATTGCTGTTCTTCACGCAAACCTGAAACTCACTTCTTGCTTTCTGCACAGTTGTAAAATGTAGTGCATTTCTCACTAAAGCCGTTCCCTTGAAATGACAGTGCCCTCATTAAGCTGACACACAGCAGAGTGGAGCATGGGGCTCTGGCCAGAGGTTCTCATGGGGCTCTGTTTATTCAACTACTAGATTGTACGGTGATACCTTACAGGGATGCCTGACCATTAATTAAGACTGTATTTATGATAGTACCTTGAAACTTTTAAAACTCCAAAGAGATGTTATTTATTTGATACACTATGGTCTATGAAGTTGAGAGAGACAGAGTATCCTGTCTGCAAAGACTTGAGATATTATTAGAGGAGATGAGACAGACGTAGGTGTTTATAGGACATGGCTAAGGTGATTTTCTGCATGTCTGTGATGGCTTTAAAGTGCTGTGGGGTTAGTAGGGAGGAAACTTCGTGGAGAGGGTGATGTCTGAGCAGGGCTTTGAGAGATCGACCATTGAGGTATATGATATGTGTGGATGGGGTATTGACTTAAACAGGTATTGGAGAGATGGCCCTGTGGGCACAGGGCATAGTGTGAGGAAAGGCACAAATTTAGGAACATATCAGGCCTGTACAAGCCACAGCAATCGTTGCGTTTGATGGGAGCATCAGTTTGGATTTGTGTCCTGGGCAGTGGGGGTTCAGTGGGGAACCAGTGAAAAAATGTTGAGTCAAGGAAATGTCAAGATTAGAACTGAGCTTCAGGATGAATAATCTGGCAGTCGTTTAAAACAGGTGGAATAGAGAGAAACTGGAAGCTCTCCTTTCTGGAAGACTACTAGGAAAATACATGAACCCCTAATGTGTTTACTTCCCAATATTTTGGAGAGTAAATGAGATAAAGGATGTGGAAGTACATTTGGAGAAATGAGTCGGGATCGTCCAGGTCCCAAGCTTCCTAGACGCTCCAGCAGCAGCTGACCACCCCAACACTGTGCCTTAAGTCAGGCTGAGCTGTCACACCTTGGATGAAGGTGTGGGGCTGCACAGGTCAGCATGTGCTGGGCCCCTGCCCCCTCCTGCCCTTGCCTGGCTCTTGACTTCCTTAACTTCGTTTACCATTTTTGGCTTGAGAATACCCATACCTGGGACTTGATCTGTTTCTTTTCCCAGATTTATCCTTGACCCTTCCCAGGAGGCTCTTCCCTTCCTGGCCACTTGGAGGAACCACCTGCTCGGAGCATCCCCATTCTGACAAAGCCCTAGTCCCTAGGACCTCCCCTGTGTGGCCTTGCTAGAGTGACTGGCCAGGGAGGACTGATGAAAAAGACTAGGAGTTGGATAAAGATTCAAATTATGGTGCTACAGTTGACTTCCTGGGTAGGGGATCCCTGAACTACTTTGAGCTTCAGTTTCCTCCAGGGTGAAAGGAAGATAAGTTGTCTCTCCACCTGGCTGTGAGGCATAAAGGAGGTAATGATTAAAGGGCTGGTTGGTGTGCAGTGGACATTGGTTGTCCACTGTCTTTTCTTCTGACTTTCCATTCCAGATGAAGAACGTTTCCTTATGAGCACAACATGTCCTTAATCTCTTTTTCTCTAGACTCATATTTTCCTTTTGCCAAAGCTTTGGTATAAAAAGTTTAGTTATATGTGCTCCAGGAGTTTCCACCATTTCCTTGAGGGATGTCCCTGAGATCCCAAGAGAGAATTCTGAAGCACTTTTTCCTATGGAAAGAATATTAGTAAATGTTGGATACATACACTGTGAGGACTATATCTAAGGAACATTCTGGGCCAGGCAGGCTTTTGTGAAATCCTAACAGTATTGTTCATTTTCATAAGTGAGTATTTGGACAGATGTTCTCAACCACGCAACTTACCAGTAAACTTACCAGAAATCAAACATTTATAACCCGAGACCGCCTGTTGCCTGTGTGTTGCTGTTGCAATCAAGCCTCAGTAGGTGAGTGGCAGAGAAAAGATTTGACAAGAACAGCGTGGGGTTAGCCCCAAGATCCTGTGCCATCCTAACTACTCTATTTTTCATAAATGTAAGAACTCAAATTTAATGGGATGAGAGTGGGAAGGGACTCTGACCTGTCCCCAACTCATATTTAAGCCATTCCTAGCTGGCGAGAACTACCCCTGTTAAAGGACACTTTCTGATGGTTTGTGATTTTTCATGATGATCTCCTCCATGGGCTCCCTCTGGATGTCCTGAGATGCCAAGAAGTCCATTTTTGATGTCTGTGGACATAAAGGCACCTGAGGAGGAAGAAGGGGTGCCCAGAGCCTGGCCCATGTACCCTTCCTGCCACAAGAATCTTATCCTCATCACTTCCCTCTCCTGCTACAAGCATGAAGGCCACCCCCTCCCCAGGGAAAAGTGACCCTTTGCGATCTTTTATGTGCCAGGGATTAGGGAAGTGCAGCTTGGTGTCCTTCCACTGTCCCTGTCCTCTCTCCATAGGGAGGGGAGGGAGTATGGAGAGCATGCTCCAGTCTTTCAAGAGAGACCAGAATCTTCTCATTACTTCATCTAGAGAAATGTGACACTTATGAGCAACTACTGGGAACCAGGCACTTTAATAAGTGCTGTAGCAACTATTTTTTTTTTTTAGTCACCACAAGGTTAAGTGACTTACCAGCTATGAGTCATCTAGCCATGAGTGGCAGAGCTGGGTTTAAGTAGGACTTGTGTCAGAGCCCAGGCACTTAGCAGTCTCCCGTGCTGTGCAGGATGTGGCAGATAGTGTGTCTGCTGTGGGCCTGTATTAGTCCATTTCTGTTGCTTATAACTGAATGCCTGAAACTGGGTAATGTACAAACAGATGAAATTTATTTCTTACAGTTTTGGAGGCTGGGAAGTCCAAAGTCTAGGGAATACATCTGGTGAGGGCCTTCTTCCTGGTGGGTGACTCTCTACAGCAACGCAGGGTATCACATGGTGAGAATGGGCTGAGCAAGAGAGAGGTAACCTTCTCATTTGCCATCCTTATAAAGCCACCAGAACCACGCCCATTACTCCACGAATGGATCAGTCCACTCACATGTGCACACGTGCACAGTCCTCATGATCTAATCACTTCTTAAATGCCCCACCTTTCTAATACCATAATCAGATTTCCCACCCTCTTAGCACTGTTACAATGGACATCCATCTTCAGTGAGTTTGGGGGACATTCATTGCACAGCAGGGCATCAGAAGCTGGTCCCTGTGCCCGGGACACCCCCCCCCATACGTGCTTGATGGGGCAGGGGAGGGGTCTGGGCAAACCCCTCTGCCTGCTGGTGAGGACGGAGGAGGCGGCCGCTGCCCTGAGTCCCACGTTGGCCAGTGAGTGAAGAGCATGAAGAGTCTCCAGGTGTAATTTTGACGACATAACGGTGGCATTCGCAGGGTGTTGCAGTCTTCACTTTGCTGCAGACAAAACCAAGCTCCCGAGTCCCTAGTTAATGGCAGGGTCCTGAGTGGGACCCAGCGTCTGCACTCCCCTGCCAGCGCCCACCTTCTGTTGGGAGGTTTGCGGTCTTGAGCGTTTGCTTGGGCTGTCGTTTCGCCGTTTCTTCTTTTTTTTTTTTTCTTAGAGGAGATGGAAAACTGCTGATTTCCCACCCAGTTATCTATTACCAAATATTTCTTCAGCCTTCTCTTCCTCAGGCTAGAAGTTCTTCGTTTCTTTGTTCTAAAAAGACTCCTTTTTGACTCCAATTTTCTGCATCGAGTCTCCTCTCTTCCCTCCCCCTTTCTCGCATCCTTACCCCAAACTAAACTAGCTCTGTTTATCTCTACATTTCAGGCTCTTGTTCTTTTCCAGCTCCTTTTTTCTTTTTATTGAGGTTTCACTTCTTTCAAGAGCTTTTTTCCCCCAACTGAGCCCAAGCTGCTATCGTGACCAGTATTGGCCCAGAAAACTCTCCAATGCTCAATTTTAATATGAACTTGGGTGTTTGTTTTTAGTTCTGTCATCACTAATGTCCCCCCCTCCCATCTTGGTGCTCCCTGACTTAGATAACACAAACACGAGGCAGCTGGGGGAGAAGGGGTGGGATGGGAAGGGTCCAGTCAACTTTGTTTTTATTCATTTGGAACAATCTGTTTTGTTTCTCAGGTACACAAATAAGCTGTTTCTCCCCGAGTTCTTTCTCCTGGCGACAGGCTGCCTTCGTGGATTCTTACTGCTGGGCTGCCGTTCAGCAGAAGGACTCCCTGCAGAGTGATTCTGGAAACCTGCCATTGTGGCTGCATAAGGTAACGGGAGTCATGTTCACATCTAACCTGTTTGCTTTCTAGATGTGGAAACTAAGGCCCAGAGAGGCCGGGCCAGTGCACAGCCACACAGTTATGTATGCCTGACCTGGGCTGTATCTCAGATGATAAAACTGTAGCACTTTAAAGGTAAGGGGAACCTCGGAGATTACTTAGTTTGACCCCCTCATTTAGCGGATGGGAAAGTGGAGGCACTGCTTGGATTTTAGCTCTGTAATGGTAGGCACCTCCTGTGTCTTAGTCGCCTTTGCATCGTTAATGCCCAGCAGAATGTCCTGTCCATGCTGGGTTCTCAGTACATTTTGATGTCTGAATGAGCATAGTCAGAGAGTGACAGAGCTAGGACTCAAGCATAGCTCCTTGGCTGGTGCCTTTCCCCACCCTACACAGGGTGTCTTGGGAAAAGTAAGGACCAGTATAGAGTTCAGTTGCTTCTAACTGATGTGTTACTGGAGCATTGAGAAGCCTAGTGATGACTCTTTCTGGGATGCTGGCTACAGTACAGCTTTTGGAGTAGATTCCTTTGCTTTCTGATGGATCCAGATACTGCAAGGAAGCGGAGATACTACACAAAAGACAGCAATATCCAGATTCCATATCCTACCGAGAAGAGGTAGAGGTCAGGAGCTCTGTGGTCGGGAGAGTGCTGGGGGGGCGGGGCGCATTGGGAGACCCACATCCTGTGCAGTGAGGAACTGGGCTGGAGTGGGCATGTTTATAGAACATTCTCTGTGTAATGAAGTGACTGCATTAGGTCTTCTCTGTGCTTAGGAAAGGAGGACTTTGTTTTGGTGTGTCATTTATTTCAGTCACTGGTTCTTTTGTCCATCATGAAAACAAATAGCATGTTTGTGTATCTTTTGGTAGTCTCATCTGCTGAGGAAAGCATGGAATTTTAGCTTCTGAAAAGCCAAAAGCTGAAGTCTGATGGACTCTGTCCTGCTTTGAGCTACTCTTGGAAACACGGTCAGCATCCTTCTTTTTAAAAAGAGCAATCTAAGTTTGCCATGACTCAGAACTGTTTTCCTTCATGTTTGTTTTCTGCGTGCCATTTGGCATAGTGATGCCCAGCAGTGATTCCTTTCTTCCTTTGGGTTGGGCTTTTCACTTCGATTTTCAGTCTTGGTGGTAGGTGGGTCCTCGTCAGCTTTGCATGGTTTAGTAGCCAGGGCAAGAAATGATAAAGATCTGCTGTGTGAATGGGCACAGTTCCAGAAGTTGAACACCTTTTTATGTCAGTGTAAACCACACTGTTGTAGTTTAAGTCCATTTGTTCTAATGCTTTTGTGAAGATGGGAATTAGTAATGAGTCACTGGGCTGGGCATTGATGCATCCACAGAAGAACATATGGTCTGAGATTGTCTAATATAAGAGTTGGCAGGGATGTTAGCAATTGTGAAATTTTTAGAGCAAGAAGAAACTCAAAAGATTTTTATCCAGATGTATTGTACGTGTACAGATAAAGGAATCTTGAGAGATCCAGCCCAAGAGTCACATACACATGCTAAACTCCTAGCTCATTGCCTCTCTAGTCAAGGAACAGTAAATCTGGCAGCAGTGTGGGTAGCCCAGCCTTAGATTACCTGTATTAATAATAGATTAAGAAGCTCTTTTTCTGGCAGTGGAAGACTAGCTTGTTTGGACAGAAGTGTGGCTGAGTGTCTTAGTAGAGCTCTTGCCAGATTCACAAGGCTGGGGACAGAAACTGAAGTCAGGACCTGCCAACTTGGAAGGATCCTGGTCAATACTCCCAGCCTTCTGGTAGGGACCCTGAAAGGCTGTTCCTTGGGAGTAAGGAATGATCCAGAATTAAACTAGCTCTCATAGAGTCCTGGTCTGAATCATTTCAATACTGATTGAATGAAGGAGATTTGGGATTGGCAATGTCTCTAGTCTACCTGCCTGCTAGAAGCAAAAATAAATCCTCTCTGGGGGAAAGTAACATTATCCAGAGCCTCAAATTCTTTCTTTAGTTTTTCACGTATGATATTCAGGACTCACTCAGAAATAACCAGGGGTACAAGAAAACTAAGAGAAAAATCAGAAATAGAAACAGACCCATAGGAGATCCAGATAGTAGATCGATCAGATGTGCATGTTAAGTGATATTAATAATATGTTCAAAGAACCAGGATAATATGGAGAATTGTACAGAGAACTGGAAACTATAAAAGAATCAAATGGAGATTCCTGAGCTGAAAACAATATAAGTGACAGAGAGTGGACTTTAGCTGATGTTGACTGAGGGCCTACCATGTGCTAGAATGTATTCTCGGCATCAGAGAGCCACAGATGACGTGGTCCCTCCCTGAAGGAGCTCACTGTTCAGTGGGAAGACAGACGTGAAAGAGGACACTGAGAAGGAGTAATCAGAAAGCTAGATGGAAAGAGAGCGTGGCTATCATAGAAACAGGGGAAGGGTGTTTTCAGACCACAGAGAACTCAGTTAAATGCTGAAGCATAGAAGCCATCAGGGTGAAACAGAAGTTATTAGATTTAAAGAAGTCATTAGTGGTCCCGGCAGGAGTGATTTTAGTGGTGAAGTAGGAGCTGGACGGTTGTGGGTGAAGAGCAAATGGGAGGTGAGGAAGTGAAGGTGATGGGAATAGACAGTTGCTTCAGAATTGTTTTTTCTTTTTCAGAAAGTACTCTCTTCTGGCTAACCGGAAGACAGAGTAACAAGCGGGATGGTAACTGGAGGGGAGGCTTAGGGTCCAGGAAGATTTTGGAATATGAGGGTGGTTTGAGCATATTCAAATGCTGAGAAGAGTCTGAAGGCGCAGAGCCCAGCAAGTACAGAGACCCGCGGGGAGGGTGCAGCCCTTGCCTTGACCGACCGTGGAGCACAGGCTGGCTTGTAGAGCATCTTGGAGGACTAAACAGGTGTATAGGCTAAATGCTGGGACAGTGGGAGCCATCGGGGGTACCTGAGCAGGGTGAACGTGGTGGTTCCAAGAATGAACCCTCAGTGATGGTGCGCAGGAGGGAGTAGAGGCAGGGAGAGGGCCGCTTGGTAGGTACCGAGTGAGGGGTGAGGGTTCTGATCAGGGAACAGAAAGGAAGAGAAGTGGTTATTTCCGAGAAGGCAAAGAACGAACAAAAAGCAGCACTTGCTGTCTTATTGTTGAGTATAAGATTACAGTACAGGATAGCCAAAGGTCATATCAAGTGCCTAGACCAGGGGTCAGCAGACTTTTCTGGGGAGAGCCAGACAGTGAAGCCTCATCATGGCAGGTCACATGGTCACTGTGCAGCTACTCAATCCTGTCGAGGTAGGCACAATTGGTGGTGGCCAGATTAGGCTCAGGGGCAGCAGTTTGCCAACCCCGAGTCTAGGGTGATAGCAGTGGAGGTGGTGGGAAGCAGACAGGTGCGGGGCGTATAGAAGGTGGAGCCAATAAGATGTGCTGACTGGACATGGGAGGATGAGGGAAAGGTCAGAATCAAGGACATGGTCAAAGTTTCAGGCACTGGGTGGAGGTGAGGCCACTCACTACTTTGGAGAAGCCTGATGAAGGAGCCTGAGTGTGTTAAGTCAGAGATGCTCGGTGGCAGTGGGGTGTGGTGTCTGGAGACGGCGGGGCACGTTGGAGCTAGACATGTGGCGGTCTGTCAGAGGATAAGTGGTATTGGAGGCTGTGGGGCTGAGTGGGTTTCCTAGGCAGTGAGTATGGACAGGGGTGAAGTCTGAGGGGTGCTCCAAGATGGAGACAGAGAGAGCCAGGGGTGGTGAGGAAAACGAGAAGGATGTGCATCCTGGAAAGAAGGACTGTGTCTGTGTGATAACCATGTCAAATGCTGCCAAGAGGGCGAGTTAGTCAACTGGGATGTTGATTACCTGTACATTTGGGTGGTGGGATGGGTTGACTTGTGTCCCCTTCAAGGTGTGTTGAAGTCTTAATCCCTCGTGCCCTAGAACGTGACTTTATTTGGAGTAGAGTTGTTGCAGATGGGGTTAGTTAAGGTGAGGTTATACTGGAGGAAGGTGGGCCCCTAATCCAATATGACTGGTGTCCTCATAAGAAGAGGGAAATTTGGACACAGACACACACAGAGGGAGGACAGTATAAAGACACTTGGGTAGAAGACAGCTGTGTGACAACAGAGACCTGGATAGGGGTTATGCTGCCACAAGCCAAGGAATGCCTGGGCTGCTAGAAAGCTGGAAGACATGAGGAAGGACCTTCTCTTAGAAGCTTTGGAGGGAGTGTGGCCATCCAGTTTGTGACATTTGGTTGTGGCAGCCCCAGCAAACTCATACGGGTGGTTAGTGAGAAGTCAAGATTCTATCCTAATTGGAGGAATAAAAACTATGCTAGATATGAACGTTAGTGTGGCTTTCTTAGCCAGGCCAGATTCTGTAATCACATCTCCTTTATTTCCACTTTGATCTCTTTTTCAAGCTTTCCTTTTTCTTATTTTGTAAAATGCACATAACATAAAATTTACCTTTTTAACCATTTTTAGGTGTACAGTTCTACAGCAGTAAGTAATTCACATTTTTGCACCACCGTCACCATTACCCATCTCCTGAACTTTTTTATCTTCCCAAACTGAAACTCTGTGCTCATTAAACAGCATTTTCCCGTTCCCTCCCCTGCAGCCCCTGGCAGCCACCATTCTGTTTTCTGCCTCTGAGTTCGTTCACTCTAGATACCTCACATAAATGGAATCTTACAATATTTGTGCTTTTGTGTCTGCCTTATTTCACTTAGCATAATGTCTGCAGGGCCCATCCCTGTTGTGGCACATATCAAAATTCCATTTCTTTTTAAGGCAGAATAATATGCCACTGTAAGTATACACCACGTTTTGTTTATCCATTTACCTGTCAGGAGACACTTGGGTTGCTTGTACCTCAGAGCTATTGTGACTGTTGCTGCTGTGAACATCTGAGTCCCTGCTTTCAGTTCTTTGGGGCACATACCCAGAAGTGGAATTGCTGAGGTTTTTATTGAGTTTAGAAAGCTTTCCTGTTTTC